GGACCGGGTGGCGGCAGGGACTGGGCGAGGGCCGCTTCCCTGAGGCGCGCGAGCGAGCGGGCGGGCGGGCGGAGCCGGCCCTGCCGTGGGCACTTCCGGCGATGGGCGGGCCCTGCGCGCGCAGCCCCACCGCCTGACCGGAAGTGCCTCCGAATTACCTGGGGCTCGCTGCAGTTCAGCTGGCTGTCGCGTGGGGGAGCCGATCTCAAGCTTTTTGGCCTGGAAGGCTAGGCTTTGTGCGAATTCCAGGTTAACAGTAAATTTTTGGTGTGTGTAACCCTTGTGATGATCGTTTATTTGAAATCCACACTTTGCCTTCTCTATGACTTACAGTACCACAGGCCTCTCATGCAGATGTCAGAATATAACAAGCTCTGTGCTGAGAGGGCAACTGCGGGGGCCTAGGCCAACAAGATGACTGCGGGCTCAGGTTGAGAGGTGAAAGAAACCGGTAGAAGAGAACTCCAGAAGGCACCACCGATAAAGGCTCCCACCTAGTGCGTCTTCCCTCAGGCAGAGAATGAGCTGCAGTGGCCGGGCCACGGCCGCTGGAGGTGCCAGCAAAGGGACCTCAGATTGACATGTCTCAGTCTGTTTGCGCTTCTATAACAGGTTACTCGAGACTAGGTAATTTATAAGGAACAGACTTTATCTCTTTTTTGGCTTTTATTTAGTTTAGTTTTTTTTTTTTTTTTTTTTTTTGAGACAGGGTTTCACTATGTAGTTCAGTCTGGCCTTGAACTCACTATGTAGCCCAGGCTGGCCTCACACTCCAGTGATCCTCCTGCCTCAGCTTCCTAAATGCTGGGATTACAGGTGTGCACCACCGTACCTGGCTCAGAAATTTATTTCTTAATGTTCTAGAGGCTGGGAAGTCCAAAGTAAGATGCCAACAGGTATCCTCATGGATGGCTGTGTTGGTCTTACCTGGTGGAAGGACAGAGGATCAAGATAGTTTCTGCAGCCCTTTTATAGGCTGGCTAGTCCTAACCCTGGGATTTCACACTCGTGACTCAACACCTTGCAGACTGCCTCTCTTGGTACTATCACACTGATGATTTAAATCTCAACAAAGGAGTTTGGAGAACATACGGAGACGCAGTGAGAGATACTCAGCCTAGAGCCGGAGGGAGAGTGTGTTGGAGCACATAGAGACAGAGTGGTACCTATGCCCCGTCTGAAAACATCGTAGTGGCAGTGTGTGTAAGCTGTGAGTGCAGACACTAATACCTCCTATCTTAGTTATTCTTGTTGCTAAGACAAAATACCTGACAAGCAAAGTTAAAGGAGGAAAGGTTTATTTAGCTCACAGTTTGTAGAGGTTTCAGTCCATACTCACCTGGCTCCAAGGCGTGGGGGTGGCATATGGCAGAGGGGCACCACAGAGAAGAAACAGTCCATGGAAAAGCAGGGCAGAAAGAAAGCAGCAAGCAGCACCTGTGATAGGTAATTGTTCTACTGTTGCCGGAAAAACGGAATCAACAATAGCCAGGAGCTCAGGAGAAGAAAGGAAATTTTATTGATGCTATCAGACCCCAGAGGAGTAACTTCCAAAGTCTGAGGTGAGGTTTACAGAAAGTTTGTCTTTTTTATAAATTGGCAAACAGAAGTTACAAGAACGAGATAAGCTTCTAGCTGGAGGCTTGCATGAGTTTGCCTTCATAAAATCTGTTGCTCTCGTGAACCTTAACTGACACATCCTCCTTGGGCCTTGGCTCAGGTGCTCTCTTTGCCTAAGTTAGCAGTTGAATGAGTGAGTTAGTAAGCAGCCTTGTCTCAGCAGCTACCTCCACTTAGGACAGGTTCCCGCCCCTGTTTCCCTCCTAATCTCGCATCCTCCTAGGGAGCAGAGCCTCTTGCTGGCTGCTCCCCACCTGGTTGTCTGACTTCTGTCATTGGGCAGCCTGTATTGGGCCCCTGCACAGCTTCTCACTGATCTGCAGCTTGCAGGCAGCAATCTCCCTGCCCCATAAGGAGCACCACACCATCAGCGTCCACCAGAAAGTCCAGTGCCTACTTTAGCACGGGCAAGTCTTGCTTCTTTGAAATAATTGCGCAGGAGTGTGGGAGGGTGCCTCCTATGAAGTCCCTTGAGTGTCTTGCTGGAAAGAAAGTGAGGATGTGGCTGGGGGGGTGGACACCACTTGGAAGTGGATAGAGCCTCTTGTCCTTTGACAAAGAATTGGTTTGAAGGCTTGGCTATTGGCTTCCCTGAGCCCCAGCCCCGAGTACATGGGTCAGGCTGGAGCTGGCAGGTTCAGCTTGACTTCAGAGCCTCATCCCAGGGAGCAGGAGCCCCTCCCCACCGCATGCTCCAACTGCCGCTCCTCCAACTGTCACTGGAACTCTGATTTTCCCTTCCACTACCTGCCCATCCTTTGGGTGACTGCTGGCTCTGCACAGCTTTTTGAGGTGAAAGCCTTATTTTGTGGGTTAGGCACTAGGCGAATGTAGTTTCACGCAGAAAAAGCAACTGCCTTTGGGTTTTGTTTATTTTTGTTTTTAAATGCTGTGAAAAATCTTGCTGCCTCTCCCTCTCCTGATTGGCAGGGCCCTGGTGAGGAAGGCGTGTGGTGGGTATCTGAGGATCTTTTGCTGCTACTCAGTGTGTATGAGGGCTGCTTTCTCAGAGGAGCTCCAGAGGCCATAGAAAAGAGAAGTATTTCTTTTTCTCTTCAAAATGTAAATACATGTATTATAATTTTAATATATTTGCATTGTAAAAATCTGCACATCTCAGAATGTAACCCTCAGCTCCGCTGTGTCACAGTTTGAACAGTTTGTAGCATAGCTTTGCAGTTTCAGGAGGTGCATGTGTGTATGTGCGTGTGTGAAATATAAACATACCCTTGCTAAGTAATTTTTGTATTCTTACTTCGTTAGGTCAGAGATCACAATGAACTTTCCATAGTGATCTATATCTGTACATACACATATATCTATATATCTGCATTTTTTCTGTGCCAAAAGTTACTTTATTCCTCTTCTGGTAGAGATCAGCTGTAAATAATGAATGGTGTAATGAACTTCCATTTCTATGCATCCTTGTTTATTTGTGTGTGTTTAGGGAATAAATTCCTAAAAACATAAATATTGGATCTAAAGTCGTGCATTCTGTAGATGCGACTACATTGCCCAAGTTTACACTGCTGTGTGGTACCCCAGGGTTGACTTATCCCTGGGCTCAGGAGGTTTAGTTGTCTGGGGCCTAAATTTTTTTGTGGACCATAAAATAATTTCATTTTGTTTAAAATCTGGAGGTAAAAAATATATATATAATAATGAATATCTAATGTGCAATGAATTTAGACTAAAATATTCATATGTATAGCAGTGCAATCATAAAAGATCACTTCAAACATAAAATATTGAATTTTAATAATTTGAACATATTGAATTGTTATAACTATTTGTATTACAGTGTACTTAAGTTTTTCTGGAGGGGAGAATCCATGAGGGCAAATGCATGTGGGCCCCATGCAAGTCCTATTGTGGCCCTGATGTTCTATTCTTTATATTCTTCTGATTTGGAGAATTAGCTTTATAATTTTTGCTAGTCTTTAAAAAATGACATTTCACTTTTTTTTTTTTTTGTCTTTTTAAGACATGGTCTTGCTATGCAGTTCAGGCTGGTCTTGAGTTCACTTTGTAGCCCAGGCTGGTCTCAAACTCATAATGATCCTCCTGCCTCAGCCTCCCGAGTGCTGGGGTTACAGGTGTGCACTACCACGCCTAGCAATATTTTGATTTCTGATAATCACTACTCTTTCTCCCACAATCTTTCTTTTTCAATTTTTCCTCTACTGTTTTTCAGGGTTTTTTTTTTTTTTTGACATTTATTCTGATGAAATTTAGAAAATTACAGTTTCAACAACTGAAAAAAATCCCCTCCTAAATTTTGTAAAATTTAGAGATTACTTTGGGGAGAAGGGAAAAGTTTACTGAACCACATCTGTTTTTCCAAGAGCCTGGTATTTTGTCCAGACCTCCCGTTTATGCCATTCTCACTTGGCCTGCAGGTTGTCTGAGCCTTTGCCCTCTCCCCAGTTTTCTTCTCATTCCCACCCAACCCCCAGCTCTCTTTGGGACAGGAAGCTGCAGCAAAGGGCTTGCCTCAGACCATGTGTTCCGCACAACGTGACTGGGGCCTCTTCCTTTGCTATTTGTGTCCATCTCGTAGAGGTTTTCTAACAACTGTTCTGGCTGCAAAGTACTGTGGCAGGGCCTACACTCTTCTCTTGTCTGCACTTTTCTTGTCTCTTGGCTTCCACTCGGTTTTATTCTGGTCCATTCTCTACACTAGACCTCAAGTGATCTTTGCAGTTAGATCCTCTTGGCCTCTCGCTTGAAAACTTCAGTGATTGGCCATTGGATTAGTTTCCTGTTGCTGCTTCTACAAATCATCATAAACGTAATGCCTCAGAACAATACAAATTTAATATCTTACGATTCTACAGGTCAGAAGTCCAGCATTAGTTTCACTGGGCTAAAATCAAGGTGCTGGCAGGGCTCCATTTACTTCTGTAGGCTCTAGGAGGAAACCGATTTCTTTGCCTTTTCTACCTCCTAGAGGCCACCTGCGTTCCTTGGCTCATGGCCCTTCCTCCATCTTCAAAGGCACTTCCTTTATCACTCTGATCGCCTTCTCAGCCTCAGCCTCATCTGTCTCCCTCTTATAAGTGGGATCATAATAACCCTGTGACTCAGCGGGACCCCAAATCATCTTCCCATCTCAAGTTCTTAGCTGCATCTTCAGTTTTTCTTTGGACATGCAAGATAACGTTCGCAGGTTCCAAGGATTAAGACGTGGACACCATTGAGTGATCATTATTCTGCCTCTTACACCGCGGCTTTCAGGATGAGGTCCAGGCTCCTTAAGGTCTCTGGGTCCTCCCATGTTCCTGATCTGCTTGTATTGCCTTTCAGATTACTGCTCATCTGATTGTCTTGTTCCCAAAATGTGAACTCTTGGAGGGCAGAGACGATGGAATTTTCATCCTTGGGGCTTCTTAATTCCTTGCTGAATGAATTTATAAACAATATCAATTGTATAATAGAATACAAATTATGTGACTCTTTGGCCTCATCCTAAAAATATTTGTTCGTTACTCATTTAAGAAGTATTTATTAATCACTAACTTGGTAAGCACTGAACCAAGAGAGTTAAAATTAGGAAACTATTGCCTGCATGTTGTGAGGATGCTAAAGTGGTATAGATATGATCACAGGGACATGAAAAGCATTTTTTTCCCCTCCAGGGAAATGGACTTGGAGGTCATTGTGCCAGTTGACTTCAGTTCTGGGGATCATCAGGACCTGGTTCGGAAAGCGGCAGAAAAAGATGCACCCCGATCTGGTCAGCCCCCCAAACCTTCACCTGCAGAGAGGGCAAAGGAATCTAGAGGAACACACAACACAAAGGCTGACAAGAGAGCGAATATCTATGTGATACAAATTTCAGATGACTCCACCCCAAATGAGAGCAATGAAGGTACACCTGGTCCATTCTCAGACAGATCTGTCCGCCAAGGTGAGAAGAAAGAAACTACCTGAGCACTATTCCGTGTACTGTAACATTAACATTCTGGGAGGCAGAAGCTGGAGGATCACAAGTTCAAGCCCAGCCTGGGCAACTTAGTGACCTAGTGACACTCTGGTTTAAACTTTAGAAAGGAGGGAGTCAAGGGGAGGGTAGCTCAGTGCAAAGGCCCTGGGTTCAACCCCCCTCCCAGTACAGCAAAAAGAAAAACAAAACAAAACAAAAAAACTTTTGTAAGAGATGTTCTCTTAAAATGTTTTCACACTGTGCAGTATCAGAAAGATATAATTTTGTGTTTAGCTTTTCTTAGTCATGTTTTATCATGAATCATCATATAGGGAAGCCATAATCAACTACTCTCAAATTATCCAGGAGATGTAGGAGTTCTTGTTGATATCTGAAGTTTGGGGGTTCCCCTAGATAAACTCTACAGTCTCCAATTGATCCATTCTCATGAAACTGGGTCCCATTTATTATTCATTCCTTCAGGGTCCTTGCTACACATCAGATACCAAAGTAATGTTAGCTCAGTGAATATTTTCATGAAGGTAGTGTACATTGGAGCACATATGTTCTGGTGTGTTGATTAGGAGAGCTCAGTCCTGCTCTTATTTTCATGCTTCCTAGGCACAGAAATGGCCCAGCCAAAGGACAGAGCTGACCACCCTACAAGTCAATGTTAAGCTGTGTTATTTCATTTCTTTTTCCTTTTAAAATTGGGATACAGCTACCAAAAAAAAAAAGGAAAAAAAGAAGACAATTGTCATTGCCAGTGCCATAGTCAGAGGGTTCCAGGGAAACCTGTGCAGTAAGAAATAAGCAAAAAGAGAGGCTAGAACATGTGCACTGGGTTTGACAAATCACCCACTTGGAAGTTTGGCCCCGCTCACAGCTCTCCAGGTTAGCTATTTGCTCCTCAGGCAGCAGAAGGGAGGAAGTTGCTGGGGGCAGGTAGGCTAAAGACATGAAGTTGAACATCAGTACAAACTCTCGGCTAGCTGAGGCCATCTCCCAAGCAGCAAACATCTGTGCGAGTGTGTAGCTCAACTCCTGCCGGTGGGCCTGCCACATCCTGAGACTCTCAGATCATTTTTGTCCCTTGGGAATGTGTGGCATAAGGAATTAAATCTCTGGATTTGTCTTGGAAATTTTGGGGCTTCCCCAGATAAAATCTAAGGTTTCCAATAAGACATCTTTAACAGTTGAATTGAATTTTCTTTTACTTGCTTTTTTTTTTGTGTGTGTGAGGAATCGAACTCAGGACCTTGCACTTGCCAGGCAGGCACTTATTCCACTGAGCTACATCCCCGGCCTGTTTGTTTGTTCTTGAGACAGGGTTTCCCCCCAGTTGCCCACACTGGTCTCAAATTTCTGGGCTCAAATCATTCTCTGGCCTCGGCCTCTCCGTAGCTCTCGCCACGCTGAATGGCTTTGGTGGAACAGCCTTTAATTCTGCAGAGCTGCTCTTTTGCTGTTTTTCTGTTTGCTGACTGTGATCTAGCACCCTCTTTCCAATCCTAAAAAAAAAAGGAAAAATATCTTTCATCAAATGTCAAAAGTAGGTGATTACATATATGCTTTTACTTTGGAAAACTGTGCCATTAAGATGGTGTTTCTCTCTCGTCAGCTTTCATCGCCAAAGTGTTCCTCATCCTGTCAGTTCAGTTGCTAATCACTGCCATGATTATTGGGACATTTGTTTTCTGGTAAGTCTTTATTACCGATGTAGCATTAAATGTTAAGTTAGTCACATCAATTCTCATGAATGAGCTTGTTTTAATATTTGTTATTTTAAAATTATCGTTTCACCCTCCCCCGGTTTAGTCATTACTAGAAGATAATGTTTCTACAGGTTTATTTTCCGAACCAACTCCTAGACCCTAGGTGGGGGTAGATTTCTGGAATTTTGCTTTAACTTCCTAAGCCAATAACTTTTATTTTGGGGGCTATTTTCTTTGAGCTATTTTCATAGATGAAACTGGATAAAAGGATCAAGCAAGGTTATGGAGATGTTGGAGGCTGAAATTGTTGGATTCAGAATGTATTCAAGGGACTGTGACCCATCACTGATTAAATGTATCCTATGAAAAATTTACTTCTGAAGCAAACATCTGAGTTGATTTCTCTTTGTACACCTATCAATCACGGTATTCTTTAAAATGAAGAACTTCACTAGGTGTTCGCATGTATTTAAATTTGACTTAGAACTTATAAGAATATCTTTTTATGTTTGTCTTTTTGTTCTGGGTGCTGGGGATTCAAATCCAGGGCCTCATGGACGCTGGGCAAGTGCTCCACCACTAAGCTACATCCCCAGCCTGGCCCATTTATCTCTGAAGCAGAACAAGGTTTTCCTGTTTCATCTCCATCTGTCATCACTAACCATTTAATTTTCCCCGCTCTCTTCATGAAGTTTTCTTACTTCTACTCAAATATTACATTGGTTAACAAAATATACTATCCTATTGTGTAAAACTACATTAATTTTTTTTCAACCAGGAAAGCTTTAAGAGTGTGGGTAGTTGCAAATCCCTGGTTCATCCATGCACTCTTGTAAGTATCACTGACTTTAATAAAACATGATTTTTCTTTCTTTCTTTCTTTTTTTTTTTTTGGTACCAGGAATCGAACTCAGGACCTTGTGCTTGCCAGGCAGGTACTTGTGCCACGGAGCTATATCCCCGCCCCAAAACATGGTTTTTCTACTAGCTAGTCACTAGTGATTTTATTACTATTTTTAAAAGGTAAAAGTATAATAATATTCTTAAAAGAACAAAATTATAGAGATAGAAAGCAAAGAAATGAACACTTTCCCAGAGTTAGGGTTGAACATGGGGAGATGCTACCATAAAGAGGTAGCATCGGAGAGGTCTTCGTTGACATGTGACCAATGGGATAGTTCTGAATTCTAATTATGGTGGTGGTTATATGTATCTGCACATAGATTTGTATCACAGTTTTAAGAACTATCTGTACAACATGATACCAATATCAAAGTATGGGTTTTGACATTGTACTATAAATATATAAAGTGCAACCAGTGGATGTTAGCAATGTGGATAGCAATGAAAAAGTTACCAGATATCCTACAATGATAATTATCTGTACCTGTATACCTGCATGTACCATATGATGTAATAACTGGAAGCAAATAACAGATACTTTTATGTATCCTGCAGTCCAGCATTTTTTGCTATAATTATTATACTTGCTTGCTGTGGGAATATCCGCCGAGAGGTGCCGGCAAATTACATTCTCCTGGGATTGTTTGTAAGTAACCTGCATTAATAGAAACAGCATATTAGCATTAATAGAAACAACATATCCTGTCCTGATAAATTACTAAGACACTGTGTGAGTGGCTCCATTTGATTCACAATGATATAGCCTACAAGTGAACCTTTTCCACTTTCCCAGTCAGTTCCCCGAAGATGTGAAATCTCCTATTGTGTTCCCAAAAAGTTTCCTTAATTAAATAATTTGTCAGTCCTAGGGAGATGGCTATGGACATGATCTGTTGTCCCCATACCCCCCCGTGGCTGTGTGCACCAGGCTTCCTGGACCCAGCCCCAAGGCACACGCCTTACCTAGCCTCCTCCAGCTGCTGGGTCTCAGCCTCAGGCCCTGAGAAGCAGGCTTCTGATTTATTGTGAATTTTGTTTTTAGACAATTCTTGAAGGTCTGATGCTAGGAGCTGTATCAGTGTAAGTCTTTGATACACATTTTTTGGGGGTGTGTGTGTGTGCTTTTCTTTGAATGCGTATGAACACTAATTGCAGCCTCTGATTTTAGTTTCTATAGCGCCGAGGAAGTGTTATGGGCGACGGCCGCCACCGCTCTGGTGACAGTAGCACTCACTATATTTGCTCTACAGACAAAAGTATGTATTACTGGTGCAGATTTCAGTCACAGGGTGCTGCCCCCCATGTCCCTCCTGACCCATTCACACGCCTGCCCGTGCTGTCCTGTCCTGCAGGCCTCTGCACTGCGCCCCTTTGCTTTTGGCTTCTTGTGGGCTTGGGTCAGTGGGAGCCCCAGCTGGAAAGGGAAGGTGGGAAGGAGGAGAGAGACCTGTTCCCGTGGCTTCCTCCCCACAGGCTCCCCTTGGGCTACCTGTGTTCCCTAGAAAAATTCACTGCCTGTCTCAGTGTGGCCAGCCTGACTCAGACTTCTGGGCTCCCTGTCCTCTTCCCGTCGGGGCTGCAGGAGGAGCAGCTTTTCCGCCACCAGCCTGGACTCGCTCCTGCAGTTCCGCTGGAGACACTTTGTAGACGGTTCATGTACAGACACGCACCCCCCAAGCCATCCTATTCCAGCGTGCCCTCTGTCCCCTGCTGGGCCCCTGCCTGATGGCGGGAGTTTACATATCCAAAAGCTGCACAGTTTGCCCAGTGGGAAGATGGCCCGATGCCCCAGAGGATGCCAGAGAGCTGGGGGTGGATCCTTTTTAACTGTGCCACTGGAGTCTCTCCGGCCCTCCAGGGAGGCCTGATATTCGTTCTTGCCACTTTCTTTTGGTAAAGGATGGCCTGGTCAGCAGAAGAGAGAGTACCACCTGTAGGCCCGAAGGGCTTGGACCCCACTCTGGAGCTGCTGCTGCAGCAGGTCCAGGGCAGGGGCTGCTTGATGCCTTTTCTAGGGGTCCTCCCAACCACTGCAGGTCTGAGACTCTCCCTGTGTGCTAAGGGGAGCAAGAGGGGACATACAAGAAAATGTCTCGGCCTTCTTGTATTTCACAGCCCGTATTTTGCTGCATGACCCAACTTTTTTAAGCCGAGAAGATAAATATCCCTTTTCTTTTTTTTAAAAAAGCTCCTAGCTTCTCCAAGCCGATTTGTTTATTTATTTGTTTTTGGGTACCCGGACCTCGCACTTGCCAGGCAGGTGCTGCGCAGCTTAGCTGTATGCCCAGCCCCTCCTAAGCTGATTTAGGTCCCGTATTTCTACAGGCAAAACCAAATACCACATGAATGAATTTTGAAATTTGCAAAAGAATCATTAACAGTATTTTTGAAAGCTTAGTATATATTTTATTAAAATAGATACATATTTACTTAACATGTTGGTGTGTTTCATTTCAGTGATGTTTTCTATGTATATGTTCTTAAAATTATGAATCATTATGTTCATACAAATTTTCATCTTAATGTACCTTTTTATTAGAGGAGATTTCATATAAATACAAAAAACAGAACAGTATAATAATTCCTCATGTACCCATTACCCAGTTTCTGGTTTTTTGTTTTTTTGTTTTTTGTTTTGGTACCGGGAATCGAACTCAGGATCTTGCACTTGCAAGGCAGGTGCTTGTGCCACTGAGCTATATCCCGGCCCCTTTTTTGTCTTTTTGAGACAGGGTCTCACTATGTAGTTCAGGCTGGCCTTGAGCTCACTTTGTAGCCCATGCTGGTCTGGAACTTGCAAAGATTCTCCTGCTTCAGCCTCCCAAGTGCTGGGATTACAGGCATGCTCAACCACACCTGGCCTCCCAGTTTCAAAAATTACCCAGTTTCAAAAATTGTCAACTTGTGGCTCCTACGTTTTCTTTATCCTGCAGCAAGTTCCAGTCAGTATAATCCTTTTTTATGTAGCATTTTTCAGTGATTGGGGTAATGAATTTCTGTAGTTCTCCGAACTGGCCAGAGGAAATTGCTAGCAGTGGTCCAGTTTCTGTCTCTGGGGCATAAAACTCATTTCTAGACATCCTGAAAGTCCTGCGAGATGCGAAATGAGTTACTGTGTGCTGTTTCTGTTTCCTCAGTGGGATTTCACCTGGCTAAATGGAGTGCTGTTTGTTTCCCTCTGTGTGCTTATCCTGTATGGGATTTTGGTGCTCTTCGTGCGATCCTATGTAAGTGGGCTTTCATGTGGAACCCTTAGAGAACTGCTAAAAGTGCTGGCTGTGTTAGTCTGGGTCCTCTGAGAAGCAGACGTGGAAGTGGGACTAAGCATGCAAGGATTTTAAGAGGAGACGTGTCCATGGGGGAAAGGGGCAGTGAGCTGATGCAGGCTTAGGGGAGCTGTCAGGCCAGGATGGCACACCTGACCCCCAGTGAAGGAAAGCCGGGCAGGGAGCATTCAGGACATGATGTGGCTCCAGGGAATTCCCCTGCCTCCCAGGAAGGGCCCTGCTGCTCCTGACCAATGGTGGGCATGTACCTCAGACCAGCTGCAATGAGCTGCAGAACCCAGCAGCTGGGGCTCATGGTCATTCGCTCCCCTCCTGGTAGCTGAAGGCCCCTGCGGTCCAGCCTAGTGGTGTCATTGGAAGATGCCATCCATACGGGAATCCAGTGCATGAATACTGAACTCCGACTCTAGACTACACTCTCCTTCCCCAAGGGGTCTTTGAGCGATGGGCCTGGCTCCTCTTGTATGCGGGTGCTACTTGTTTGAAGGAATAGACCTTTTCCAATAGCATTCTAACGGTTCCTTGTCCAATCCCAGTTTTTCTTGTTTTGTTTTGCTTTTGAGACAGGGTCTTGCTAAGTAGTCCAGACTGGCCTTGAACCCATGATGTAGCCCAGGCTGGCCCCAAGCTTGTGGTGATCCTTCTGCCTTAGCTTCCCAAGTGCTAGGATTATGGACATGTGCCAACAATTCCATTTTTTATTTTTATTCTCAAATATATTCATGGAGATCTTATTCAATTTCAGACCCAGACCTATGTGGTTTTCACATAGGCATTACACAGAACTCTTACAACATTCCTGAAAAGTACATATCTCATCTCTTTTATAGATAATGAAAGAGGCTCAGAGAAATTAAATAATTCAGAGTTCCCCCAGGATTCGGGGCAGGGGGGCATGGAGACACCACTGTTCATGGAGTGAGTCTGGGGCAGGTGTGGGGACAGGAGTCTTGACTTGTCCCTGTGGTTCTTGTCTGTGAGTGGCCCCTGTGTGGAGACCTTGTTGGAGGCCCACCCTGTGACCCAAGGTCAATTGGGTCCAAATGCTAAACCAAAGAACTTCGTTGGCAACAAGTGGGCACCATCTTCCAACGTTTAACTGAAGGTCCTGCCCAGGCTGATTTCGCTTTATGAATGGCCATGTATCTTACAGGGAGGGAGATGGCATCTATATTTTGGGGACAAGTACAAAAGCATCACAAAATATGTGTCTTAAAAGGCTACAGCTCTCTATTATTACTGGTGGTAGGAGAGATAGTGGTCATAATACTATAAAAATTTATTAAGTGGATTCCATAGGGCTTTTTTTTTTTTTTGTCTTCTTTGAGACAGGGTCTCGCTATGCAGTTCAGGCTGTCCTTGAGCTCACTTTGTAGCCCAGGCTGGTCTCAAACTCGCAATGATCCTCCTGCCTCAGCCTCCTGACTGCTGGGATTACAGGCGTGCGCCACCACACCTGGCCATAGGACTTTATAGTATCACTTATATGTGGTTAAGAAACTATCTCTTTCTATAGATTTATCTGATTCCCAATCTAAATTTCCTTTTAGAAATATCTGCAATCTATAATATTACACGTGTTCAAATGAGAGGAGACTTGGGTGGAATCTTGTCCAAAGTTATGGTTGACTTGGACAATTTTGAATCAATCTCTTGACTTCAGGGGTCAGGTGTTTCCTAACGGAGCTCAGGCTGCACCCACTGCCCAGCCCATGGGCCCAGCCCCTAGTTACTGATTCCTAATCTTACTTCCCTCCAAGAACCTTTTCCTGGCTAACAGCTTCCTCCTCCTGAAGAATTTGCGCCATATTTTTCTCAGGCATTGTGCAGTCTTCCTCACCCTCTTCCCATGCGAGCCAGACCCTTGGGGGTTTAGATCAGTCCTGCGTTCTGCTCAGGGATGTTTTGGTTTCCAGGAACAGGTCACACTGAGCAGTGTGAGGTTAAGGCCCAGAGCCTCTCCCTGTGGCAGAAGAGCTGGGCTTCTCTGGGGTTGTCTGACCAACTCTCCTTGTGCAGCAGGAGCTCTGGCACTGGCCAAGGACAGCAGCTTCTGCTGCTTGGGCCCCTTGAGCCTGGAAATTTATTTCTGACTGCCTGGCTGGCCCATCTTTTGAAACCATCACTGAGCTTACGTTTCAGATCAGTCAGGTTTCGCTGTTTTCAGAGTGGGTGTCTACCTTGCATCGCACCTTCCAGCAAGGGCGTGTGCATCCCTGTACTCCCAGGGACACGTATTCGTGACCTGAGGGAGGGCAGATTCTCCAGAAATGCTACATGGATGGGGCAAAAAACGCAGAATGTCTGATACATTCTCCTCGCCCTACCACAGGAGGCGTTAGGCACTTCCCTCGCTTCATGGATATAATTTGGTGTGAAAAATGTTAGCTTTCCTTTAGTTGCTTATTGGACTTGAGTGTTTAAGAGAAGATTAATTTCCCCACAGGTTTGACTTTCTTAATATTGGGTCCTTATGTGTCCCCACTGGCCTGTATAGCCCTTTCATTACTCGGATTTCCTTCTTACGCGACGACTATTTCCTCTCCGCAGTGGCTGCACCTTTTGTATGCTGCAATTGGAACCCTGCTGTTCTCCTTGGTAAGTGTCTCATTTCTGTTCTCCCACAGCTGGAACTTCTAGGGAAAAGGCAGAGGCCCCCACTGAGGCACCTAGGAATCTCTTGCCTTCCCCTTGGTCCTGCATCTTGCTGTTATATCTTTACAATTATTTTAAGGAATATTTTATTTAAAAAGTAATAATGTATGTCTTAAAATTGAGCAGACATAGAAGAGTATACAATGAACATAAAAGTCTCCTTCTTATTGCCGTTCCTCGGAAGTAACCTCTGTTAACAGTTTGGGGAATCCTTGCAGGATTTCCTTACACATATGCACCAGATCCTCCAACACTAATGGCTTCATACTAATGTAATATTCCGTGCTGGCCTTTTATCTTAACAAGTTATGCTCTCCATATATTGGCAGACGTAGGTCTAACTCACTGTGTTTAAGGGTTACGGTATCCCTTTTTTGAGAGGGGGATGTCTTTTTGAGACAGGGTCTCGCTATGCCGTTCAGGCTGGCCTTGAGCTCACTTTGTAGCCCAGGCTGGCCTCAAACTTGCAACGATCCTCCTGCCTCGGCCTCCTGAGTGCTGGGATTACAGGCATATGCCCCCACACCCGGCTCCCTTTTACACATATATCAAGCTACCTCCCTTAGGGTTTTTGTTGTGTATTTATTTATTTAGGTGTGTGCGTATTTATTTATTTACTTATTTGTCAGTGTTTGGGACTGAACCCAGGATCTCAAGTATGCCAAGAACTGAGCTACACTCCTACCCTCTATGGTTTTTTTTTTTTCCTCTGTTGTTTTTAAAGAAAAAAAATTAAAGATTTTTGAACATACCCCGAAATAGAGTGGTATGGTAAACCCCATATATTATCATCAAGCATTGAAACCATCTATGTTTTGCTACCTTGTATTCCTTTGTGTTGCTGTTGGAATTGTGTTATGTCTCTCAGATGTTAGAAAAATTTATATCGGGAGATTAAGATGAACATTTTAATGTTCTCATTTTAACTATTTTAAAAATTTATTTCTTTATTTATTTAGTGGTGCCGGAGATCGAACTCATGACTTTGTGCTTGCCAGGCGGGCGCTTGTGCCACTGAGCTGTATCCCCAGCCCTGCAACTGTTTTAAAGGGGCCTGATTTCTGCCCCTCTTGCTTTCCTCCTGTGCACACAGCCTTGGTGTTAGTGCCGGCTGCCACGTCTCTTGCGGCCCGTTTTTGGCGCAGTCTGTCTCTCTGGCGTAAGCTGACGTTCTGTTCCATTTGTAGCCAGAGCACAAACTCTTCTGCAGGCTCAGGCACATCACTCAACGTCATCAGCAGCAGGAGGAAACGGTGTGTGCAGTGCATTTTAGCTGCCGGAGTTGTGAAGGGGTCAGGTAGAGAGGGCCACACTTGCAAAGGCTCCTGGGGGTCTGCATCCTGGCCAGCGCTTCCTGTGGGCTGGTTGTCTTGGGTAATGGACACTGCTCACGGTTCTTGCCCTCTGTCCTGTCCGCTCTCATGCCTGCTAACCTCTCCCGAGAAGCCACATCCCCAGCCACCCAGGCTGTGTGTAGGAAATGATGAAGAAGAGAGAAAAGCTCTTCCTCACAGAGGCTGGGACTCTAGGGTGATGGAAGGAGGTGAGGGCAAAGTGGGATGCTCAGCCCCCTGGGAGCCTTTTGGGGGATCAAATTCTCCATCCAAGAGGCTTTAAAGGACCGCAGAATCAGAATGGTTACTCATCCTAGCTGTCCATCCTACCAAAGGTGCTGGAATGAGACCTAGGGAGAAAGGGGTGAAGGAACCTGGCAGTTCGGATGAGGCCCCTGCTTGAGCATCTCCGGCCTCATCTGATGTCCTGTGTTGCTACTGCTGTCCTTTCCTCTTCCAACGCTCAGTTTCATGTTGCCTGCCCCAACGGGGTTGTTCCCGCGTTACAAGAGAGACCATTTGGCACAGCCTCAGGATGAGATGCCCAGGATATGTTCAGTAACTTTCATCCTGTTCCTTTCCTCCCATCTCCCTCATTCTTTTTGGTTTTTCTCCGGTACCGGGAACCGAACTCACGACCTTGCACTTGCCAGGCAGGCACTTTGCCGCTGAGCTAAATCCCCAGCCCCTCATCTCCCTCATTCTTGTAAGCCCTCGTGGGAGCAAGGAGTCCGAGACAGTGAATACCTGAGTCCCTTGGAATGTTAAGTAGATATTGGTCTAAAGTGCATTTATGAAAATCTCTAAACCCCCAAGCATTCTCTGTGAGGCCAGCGCTGGTTTGTCTGATGGACTCCGCCTCACCACTCTGGAGTCCTGGTCTGGCTTCAGGTCTTGGCGTCTGTGCTGGTTGTTTTCCTCTCTGTGTGTCCTCAAGCTGCCAGGGTCTGCTCATTTTGCGATGACTGCAAGGATGAGAGAGGCCTCTCTTCTTTTCTCTTGATGTCTTAGGGCTGTACAATTTTACCTACTTCAGCTGAGCTGAAGCTGTTTCTGTTAGGGGTTATTCAACCACATAGGAGGCCCTTCTCCTCATTCTGTTTTGCATCTACAGAAATCATAACAAAGTGGCTATCCCAAATGGCCACGTTTGCTATGAGAAAATTCAGAATTATTATGTGAATCTAAGTGGCCAGAACCATATTTATTTTGACCGTTGTTTAACAAGAACATAGACAAAAATTACAAACAAGCATTTTATTTATTTATTTAATTTTACAAACAGGAGTTCTCTAGTTTGTCCATCTGGTGTACATCATTGACTAAAGATACAATGATGCTTTGAATTTGGAAAGGAAGGGGAAGCTCAGACTTGGTCCCACAGCTTTTAGGAGTTCTCACAGCGATGCGGGCTTGGCACCCCCACAGGTTTTAGGTGGACCACGAACTTGCTTTTAAAGAGTATAAACTTGAGCACTTCCTGAGGTTGAAGTTATAAGAGTAACATATTCAGCCAGAAACTATTTTCTACATTTTTTCTTGATGCTAAAACAGTTTTTCCAGATCATCTGGGACACTCACTTGATAATTCTTTTTTTCTTCAAGTACCTGGTGATGGATGTGCAGCTCATGGTAGGAGGACACCATTCCGAGATGGACCCTGAAGAGTATGTTTTTGCTGCCCTGGAGATCTACTTGGACATCATCAACCTTTTCCTTTTCATCCTGCAACTGATCCAACTGGGACGGTAGTTGTATGGCCAATGTCGGCTTATGCTGAAAGCAGAAGAAAGGGTCCTTATGAATTGTTACCTCGCAGACATGCACCTCATAAGCCCTTTTTCCTTTGGAAAAAAACTTAAGAACATGTTTTCTTTCTTTACAAAAGAAACTAAGCATTGAGTAGATGATAGCTGTTGTTAGGCTTTTGATTCCATTGTCATATACCAAAACTTGCTGGGAATGTCTCTAATTTTTATAAATTCAAAAGATGACTCCCGTAATTACAGATTTACAAATATTTGTAAGATGCCCGTTGCTTTTGTTGACATTTTTTAGGTACTATATAAAACTCTAAACGTCTCTCTTCATGAATAAAACTAATTACAGAAATTTAAATTTATTTCTTTTTTTTTTTCCCCCTCTTGGCTTGGACATTCTGTGGGACTATTCTGGCATCTGATTTTTAAAGAATCATCTAAAGCAATAGATTGTGCCTTCCTCCTGTATTGCAGAGTCAGACTGGAGAGAATGCTGCTACTACTACCACGCAGGGTTGAGGGAGGATTAACCAAGTCAATCAACACAAAAAGCTCAGGACCAAGTACCTCTTGTCCTATCATAGTTGTACTTGTGGGCTTGACTCAGGGACCACCTCCTGTGATTGTCTGGGACAACTTAAGTCCTATATTTTCAATTTAATTTTAATTGTTGTAAAATGCACATAAAATATTCCATCATAGCCATTTGGAGGGTACAGTTCAGTAATGGTAAATATATGTGCATTATTATGCAACCACTCTGTAGAACTTTCATCTTGCAAAACTGATAGTCTCTCTATAGTAAACAAGAAGTCCCATAACATTTTAAATTGAATTATGTGTTTATAAAATTTTATACCACCGGTGTGGTGATTTCCTTGAGGATCAGAAATTGTACAGATCTATATATCCCGCCTGGAGTTTCACAGTTTCCTGGTTTAAGATACTTGATGTAAACAATTTTACTCAAATGTAAAAGCTCACATGTTCAAATATATCCAAATGAACCCATGTCTGCCCCCCTGCCTTATTTCTTTTCTTTTTGTGTTTGGTACCAGGAATCAAACTCAGGACCTTGCGCTTGCCAGGCAGGCTCTGTGCCACTGAGCTATATCCCCAGCCCTCTTATTTCTAATTCCAAGTTCCAGGCCAGCCAGTCTTTGGTCTTTTCCCAGCACGAAGAGTATGTAATGGTAGGAGTATGAACAAAGGCACCAAACGGGCCTAGTTATGATGGGTTTCAGGTGGTCTGGGGAGGGAACTAGAGAGGAAAGTTGATGTAGAGGGATGGTTGGTCCAGATGAAGGATTTCAAACAATCCTGACAGGCTCAGGACTTCAGGCTTTATCTTGTAGGCATAAGGCTTTAACCGCAGCATCACGGTGAAGGCAGCCTTTAGGAGAGTTAGTCTAGCAGAGTGGGTTAAGATAGAGGAGATACCGGGGAGAGGAAGCGTATATATGAGCTAACACAGCAACCCAGGATTAAGCCACTAAAGGACAGATCTAGGTGTTAAATGGAGTAGAATGAGATAATCGTATATGATCCAGATAGTGGACAAAAACATGGACATCTGATTGGAGGATCTGTCCAGCTGGAGAAATTAGGCATGTCCCTGATTTTACTATGGGCAACTGTTACTAAAATAAGGCAATTTTAGGAAAGGGGAAAATGGTGTGGGGAGTTGTGAGGCAAGGCGATAAATGTAAGTTTCAACTTTTCAATATGTAGAAACACAGGAAATGTTCAGATTGGCTGAGGTCTGGGAGCTGACGTTCAGGGCTAGAGACACAGAATTACGGACCATCAGTTTGGTGCAAACTGGGGCTGTGAAAACAGATGCAGTTGCCAGGAATGAGGGAGAAAGAAAGAGATCCCAAAGAATGAACTCTGTAAATATCCGTACTTGAGACACCAAGGAGAAAAAGGGTGTCGTTGGTCCTCAAAATATGAGCACGCTGAGAGCGTCCAATCATGAGGCCAGCCACCATTTTCAAGAAGGTGTTGCACACTGGAGCCACGGTTCATTTAGGGTTAAGATGTTCCAGGACCTTTAAAATACCTAAGGGTTTTTTAAAAAAGTATCCAAAGGTCAAGGCACAAGAACACAGGCAGTGGACTTGACAGGTACCAGATGGCTGACTTGGAGGGACAGGGAGGGGGGAGTCCAGACTCCAGGGAGAGCAGCTGCCGTGCAGTGAGGGGACAGAGCCCCAGAGAGATCGGGCAGGTTCACCTCCAGGAGGAAGGAGCAGCAGGGAAGATGAAGGTGGTGCCACTGCATCTTGCTTTTCTAGGATAGGGGAAATTTTGGCATATCTGAAGGCAGAAGGAAATGGGGGTGCTAAAAACGGGGAAAAATCAAAGCAAGGCGGGATAGGAGGGGATGGGGTTGGACAGGGGAAGGGCATGACTGGCAGTCACCTGTGGTCGCCTCTTTTGAGAGGGAGGCAGGAAGTAGGGGTTCTGTGAGCTGTCCAGGAGGCTTAGGGCTTAGAGAATACTGCAGGCTTCATCCAGCTTCCCTGGGTTGTACATATGCAAGGAAAACAAGTGGAGTAGGATAATGACTTCCTTTCTCTTTTGTCCAAAGTATTAAAGGAAATAAGGCTGTGATTTAACTGAATTCAGAGATGTCAAGTAAGACCTCTGAATGTAGGTATACAGCACTAGACAGCTGACTTTGTGACTTCCTGTTGCTTCAGGTTCACCCTATACTGCTGTTTTCTGGTTACAGTAACTCTCAGAAGGGACCCTATTTAGCAGTTTCATATTGTGTTTGTACTCTCTTATTACTCCCAGAAAATTCCCTGAATATGGGATCCAACTCTGAAACATGAGTGAGTAGAAGCAGCAATGACTTTAAAGCTATCAGCAAAAAATCTGTGCAGGTCCTCCAAAGCTCATAAGCCTGGATATCTAAGCCAACATTACTGCATATGTAGCTGTCAAAGGCTTTGGTACCAACATCGCAGAGATCAATCCATATGAGGAAGCAAATGCCACTGGAAAGCTTGAGGTTTTGCTTATTCTCTTGGGCCTCAAGAAAATCTTCATGCACGTAATAGGCTAATTGCTTTCTTGAGCTTTTCCCAGCACAGCACCAGGTATTTCTGCTGTCTCAGCAGCATTCCTACCCACATTCAGCCCATTGCGGGAGACTACTGTATGTGCAACTAAACAGGGGTAGTGAATTGATTAAAAGAAGTTTTGATGCTCCAATGACAATCTTTGATTTGGGCATTCATATAGGCAATGAGCAAGATACACTTATTAGGATCAGCCTAGCAAATGAGTGGATTAATTTGTTCTCAATATAAGAAATTTCTGATTTCTGGGAAAATGGTGGAGCGATAAGAAACAATAACTTAGCCTCTCTGAGATCTGGAATCCAGACACTGGAAAGTAACCACTTGGGAAGAGGGAGAAGTAGACCCCTGGGAAACATGAAGAATCTCACAGGAAAATTAAAACCTACAGAGAAACTGAAGAGACACAACACAACATAGAGCAGGGAAGGCACAGTCTGCACTTTCTCCCCGGCTCTAGTCTCATGGCTCCCAGGAAAGGGAGACTGAATTTGTAGAGACAAAGTGAAAGCTGGGGACTTAAAGGACTTCAGGGAGAAACACAGTGGTGGGATGGGTCAGCAGGTGGTGTGAGCCTCAGCGTGAGCATGGGATTCTGCTCCCACGAGTCCTTTGAAGGGCAGCAGTGACTCCAGTCCACCACCTGCCATATCCCTGGAGAGTGTTTGGTCAGATACCATTCTGAGGAAAGGATGAGTCAACCCAGGACTCAGAGGAACCATGAGACAGGTTCACTTCAGGCCTCCCAGTATTACGGTCCCACAGTGACTGGGTAAGAGACAAGCACAGGAGGTAGCCCTGGTCAGCCTGGAAAGAGACACACTAATGGGTTTGAGCTAAAGGACACAGGACCTGCCCTACAGCCAGAGGTCATACTCAGCCTGAATCGCTCTGGATTTGAAAGTTGCAGCTCTGACACCCTTGCTCTCATCTTATTACCCACGGAGCCTGCAAAAAGCACAGATCTGGGGTCTGCCTACCTTTTTTATCTACCAGTGTGAGAAGGGACATGACTTGGGCATTGCCTCAAAATTATAGATCCTGGAAGAAAACCTCACATTCAAAAATCAGAGAACTTTCTTTTTTTCTTCTTCCTCTTTTCCTTCACCTTCTTCTTTCTTCTTCTTTCTTCTGTGAGAGTATTACTATTTTTTTTTGACAGAGGGTCTTGCTATGTACTTCAGGTTGTCTTTGAACTCACTGTGTAGTGAGACTGGCCTTGAAATCATGGCAATTCTCTTCTGTCAGCCTCCCAGTTCCTGGGATTAGAAGTGTGTGCCACCATACCTGGTGAGCATTGTTTTTAGTTGGTTTTGTGTGTGTGTGTGTGTGTGTGTGTGTGTGTGTGTGTGTTCTTTTTTTCTTCTTTCTTCTTTAACATTTTATTGGGGTTTGGGGGATTTTTCTCTGTCTTGCTTCTTTATCTTTTTCTTTTAAAATTTTTTTCCTTTTCTCCATTTTCTCTTATTTTCTGTATAATTTCTTTTTTCTCCTTCTTTTGCTTTTATCTGTACTTTTTGTCAGTTTTTTTCTTAACTTTACCTCATTTAATAAACATCCTTCTGGCCGGGTGTGGTGATGCACATCTGTAATCACAGCACTCAGGAGGCTGAGGCAGGAGGATCACTGTGAGTTCAAGACCAGCCTGGGCTACAAAGTGAGCTCAAGGCTAACTTGAACTGCACAGTGAGACCTTGTCTCAAAAAGACAAACAAAACCAAACCGAACAACAAAAAAAAAAACCCCAAAACATCCTTCTATTCCTCAAAAGGATCCTTTGTATCACTCTCATATCAGAGTTCAAGATTTCAAATTTTTACTCTTGCATTCCTCTGTCCCCAAACCCTTATCTTTAATAGTATAACCATAAAGCTTTAATCCTTTGATAGTTAATTATACAATTACTGTTGAATTCTTTTATATCATTAGTGGAGGTACAGCTGTCACATATAGAACATATTAGCATTAAGTCAATCCCTAGGTTGTCTTACTGTTTACAGCATAATTGTGGATTTCTTCCCTAGGGTTAAGGATAGTGAAAAATTGGCTCCTATGGTATGTTAATATCCACTTTGTTTTGCATAACACTACTGCAGCTCATTTGCTTGATATTACCAGAGTTGCATAATTGCTGCTGTTTTCCTGTAAGCCAACACTCAGGTTAACTTTGAGACATTAATGGTATTAGAGTACATTCCCAGAGAGTGAGGTGTTGGGCTAATTACACTGTGTCCTCCCTCCCAAATTAACCAAGGTGGTTGGATCTTGG